GACCAAGTTGCGAAAACAATGTCGAACCAACACTATAAAGCTAAATGAGACTGCGACCAAATAGAAGGCCAATACAATCTTGGTCTTCATATCTACGATTTAGTTTTTTTTGCCTGGATCGCCTATAATGATGTCTACGTTTATGTTTTTCAGATCTAAGTTGTTTATCATCCTTCATGTGTTATTTTGTTTGATCCAGTCCTCTATACAATCACGGGGTTAGAACCATGTAACTTGCTTTTAAACAAGAGAATTCCAAGAGGCTTTCTCGCTAGTTTTACCAGGTACAAAAAAGCGGTCCTTTTTCGGCTTAAATTATTTATAAGATAATTCCGCTTTTGTGACTACCTCTCATATATATGATCTGCTGGTTGGTTCGAAACCTACTTATAAACGAAAATAGGTAATGTAATCGATTGTAACAACAAGCACAACTCTGCTTCATCGGCAATCTCACCACTCGGGTTCGAGTCCCGTTGGGGTGCTGATGAGACCTAGGTAAGATGAAAACTGTATTCACTTTAGATAAGAATCCTGAAGGCCTCGTGAAATTTAATGGATTCTGTCTTCCGTTGATTTCACTTTGCCATTCATAGATTGATGTCTTTTTTTTTATATGCGAAGAAAAGTTGGGTTTCGAGAAATCTCTTGTTTCATAATTGTTGAGCTTACTTTCATTTTGGGTGAAATTGTTTGGGGAAGAGATTCGAATGTCGATTCAACCAGAAGACGACGGCAGATTCCTCTTGACCAGCTGTCGATTGGCTTTACTGGAACAAATTGCGAAGTGGTCATCCAACTATCGCATAATTACTGTTGGCTATTTAATGACATTTTGAAATTTTTCCCAAACTTGTCTATGAAGGCATTATCCAGCAGAGGTGAAAGTGGTGAACCTATAGGCAGATCAAATATTTGCTCATAGATACGGCAGTTGAACGTGGAATAGGTCGTTTTTATTATTGGATTGATTAATCGGGTTAGAGGCTTTCGGCGCATTCGCTTTGTCTCCAGGATGTCATTTCCGTTTTGCAATATCTCCAGTAGTGCGGTGATTGCTTTTTATCCTGTGATGCTAGTGTACATGGACTATGCATCAAAGCTTATTGGAAGTTCGTTTCCTTCCAGTCTTGTGCCTTTGATTCTTTGTCAAACTTCGTATGAATTCTTCACTGTACGCGACAATCTGTCATTCATTTTTTTTAATTTGAGGCAGATAAATTTCGCCAATTTATGTGTCGGTCCATGTTAGTTGTTGATTATCAGTCTCAATG